TTTAGCGTAACGTTAACAAAATAAAAATTTCCAATGTAGGTATTGCATTTGAATATTTACAATATATGTATTTTAATAAAATATCAAAGTAAATTTTACTTTGACTGATTAGTAGCACGTAAATTTAATCATTAACTCAACAGTATTCGTTCTAATTAATTTGTTATGAAATTTCGACGACGACATGTCAGCTCAAACAAGACGTGTATTGCAAGGAGTTTTGATGACTACTGTTTCCGATTGTCTTCAAAGCGTACAATAAGCTCTTTACGTGGCAGCATATAATAAGCCTTTATTTGGTTCCCTTTGAGCTATCAATGGCTTTTCATTTTATTGGTTCGACCCACATAAGAGTTTGCATGGATGTAAGTGGTACTCGGTGGCTTCTTTTTTCTTCTGCTCGGTTTCTCTACCTTTTTTCCTAGCTCAACAACAAAGAAGACGGCAATAAAGTAAAAAAAACGAGATGTGGATTGTATATACAATCGGTTTATTGGTCGCTGACAATAGCAAGTGGGAACGGCTCTTTTGCATATGCCGTAGACTGAAAAAAACATCTTTGTACTTGACACCGACTCTTAGTTTCTCACATACTCCACAGATTTTCATAGATGTACTTTAGGCTATAATTCGTTCATTATTCACTTTTATATTCTTTCATTGAAAAAAAAAATTTCAAAGGTAATTACAACGCTTTACTGTGTGTACATACCTTTTTTTTTAATCAAAAAATAGAGCTGCACTTTTAACATCCAAGTGCCTACTGAAATACCAGTCAAAGTAAAAGCAGCAAAACAAACATTTTTAAATAATTGTTTAAAGCAATAGAGAGCTCGACGAGGGCTCCAACGCAAGCATAAAATGAAGGGAAAAAACTTTGGCTCCAAGAATAGTGATATTTTGTCCTTCCTTTTTTCTTTTTTAATTTTCATGGTAACCCTCACTGTTCGTGAAATATGAAACTTTCGTAAACACGCCTTGGCTGTACGTGACGAAAATTCGCTGCTGGGCAATAAAACGGCTACTAAAACAAGAGAATGAAGAGGACGACGAGAATTTTGCAAAATGGCGTGCAGCCACTCTTGCCGGAGAGGCAAAACAGGGGTTGTATTTTTTTATTCAACGCCTAAATATTCCGTTGCATGAGGCGCACGTATACACGAGGCACGCAACGTCCAAAGCGTGGTCACTACACCTGCTGTTGCTACCTCGAGGCATCGTACCGTGGATTCGCTACAACGTATACACTTGCAAAATAGAAATACTCCGTCGCATGTGCACGCTCAATTTTTTTCGATAGAGAACAAAACCAAATCACATTTGCATGATGAGAGAAACAGGCCGAAATTTGAATTTTATATTAAATTTTTTCAATTTGCCGCCAAACTCGGGACTATGCATACTTTTACTTTTAATTCATTTGCAGCGCTGCATGCGAAGTGCGCTTTAACATACATGAGAAAGAAAAACAATCTAACTACAAAAATATTGTTGCGTCTGGATTAATCGAAATTATAAAAATATAAAAATTTGGTGTGGCAAAACCAGCATAAGCATTTAATTAAAAGTGAGCTTTTTATCTCTGAACAACGCCGGGTGACCGAAAACAGCAAAAATCTCGTATGCAAAACGCTTTACGACAAATTTATAGAAAAAATACGAGACTTCTCCTTCATCACAAAGCGAACTGGGCTTTTCACAACAGTAGGATCCTTCATACATTACGCAAGTATAGATTTAAGTGGACAACAATGGTCTTTTTCTTAAAACACTTTTCTTAAAATTCCCAGTCGTGTAAGTTTCTCGAACGACTAATCGAAAGTAATGCAACAGCAAAGAAACTCGAAAACAGTACACGGCGCTGCAGGCTGGTGTATTTTTCGCGCAAGCACTACTTTCGTACGCAATAAATCTTCCAGTGGACTCCTCGACCCCTCATTATCTCACACTACTAAATGCGAAAGGGAGGGATGGAGAGAGAGATATATGGAGCTCATGCATTATCGCTTGGGTGTGTAAGTCATGCGAAAAATTTATAGTCACCCTCACCAAAGTGTCGGGGTTGTCCCTACTGTGTACTTATGTAAGATAACGTACGTAAGGATGAGCAGAGTAGAAAAAAATGGAGTGAAGTAGCAGCGATTGTGTACACTCCGCACTTTAATAAATTCCAAGTTGTACTTCTGCGAGGAATACATCTTTGTCGAAAATACGTGCTTAACTGGGATGAGACAGGAAAATGGTTCTATTATTTTATAAACGTGACACTGGGAAGTTGATATAAGCTTTTGGGTATACACACAGTTTTGAGTTTTGAAACAATTAAATTCGATGTCAGCATATAAATTAGTTCTTAAGTGAGTTTGACTGAATAATCTACGCAACTTTATGATTCTGTGCTTTGGCGAAAACTACTGGCTAAATTTTTTGTCAAAATTTATAGTTGCTTATTGCAGTACATAAATAACGTTTTACTGACTTAATTTTACTTTTACAAAAATTTGCATGAAGAAAATGTCTAGCAAGTGTTAGGCAAAAATAAACTGAAAAATAGTTATTGCAAATTAATGTAGAATTTATCAAAGTTAAGAAAAATTGAGATTTTTGTAATTAATTGGTTGAAAAAAATTTTTAATTGATCTCTAACTATTTTTGAATCGTTCGTAAAGCAATGATAAATTAAAAACATGAGGAATCCTGACATTACAATGATTTAAAAAATACCAATTTTTATGAACAAACCATTTCCACAAGTGAAACTCGAGGCAAAACTATCCGCAGTCTCCCACTCATTTGCCCTTTTGTTTTTCAGTCCTATTAAAAATTTGCATTTACGTACTCAATGAAACTATAAATCAAAACAACAAACAACACACACCTATTCTAACGCTCATATGCTTGTCACACATTAACCTTCTATGTACTCTATTGATTCTGCTCTCAAACTACATACAAATTATAATATAAATGTACTCGAGGGACTTGTTACTAAGACGCAACAAGCTCAGTAACAGAAGCAATATCAGTAGCAGCATCAGCATCAGGTCCTGTAATACGGTATCATACTCTGCTCTCATAAACTAGGCATATGCAAGGAGGAACAAATATGAGAGTACATTGTATTTATTGTACCATGCATGTTGGCGTAGGTTTTAACACCAAAATTTAATAAAAATAGAAAATGATTAACAAATATTAGCATTAAATTTAATAAAAAGCTACACAATTGTTTTCAATAATGCTCCTACATGTGCTCACCTGGAACCTTAATCACATATTGTGGTCCGGTTCCAACTTACAACTACATGAGTTGAGTGTGCGTACCGAAAACAGAACTACTTCTTTTTTTTGTGTGTGTACTTATTGCAACGCTTAGCTGCTGTTGCTGCTGATTGTATAGAGGACTCAAGCACACTTATATACCTATAGGTGGGCATATACATGTATGTAACGAGGACCTGCTAGCAGCTATGTACCTATACATACGGCAAAAGTCGTGACCTTGTTTCTAGATTTGATTAAGTATCTTATTACTCATACGCCCCCAGGTTTATAATTACCAATGCGCGTAGGCGAAGACCTTCAGGATTTGCTTTCATTTATTAATTTCTTTATATCTTTTTTTCTTTATTTCATCATTTAAGTCTTTTTTCAAAGTTCAATGACTTTTTTGTGTAGTAGGGTGCGGTTAATTCAAAAAGTTATTTAAAACTTTGTAATGTTGTGGATTGTACAATTTATTCTTACTTTACATTCAAGCCCTTAATAAGTATAGACTCTGCTACTTATAACATACTTTTATTTGTTTAGTCTTGACTTTTTTATAACCTACAATTCAATAATAGCATCATCTGAAATTATGTACACAGATATAATTTTATAATTAGAGCAAAAATTCGGTACAAACAAGCAAAAAATCACTTATTACAAAATTTATGTGAATGTACGAGAGCAAAAAAAATGAATTACAAAAAGTAGGCTAACCATTTGGCAAAATAAAAATAACAATGGAAGCGTCCGAACTTTTTTTTGTTTCCCGTGTTATTATACGTTTGTTTGTAAAAGGATATCCGCGGCATTCAACGTGTGCGGCCGTTTAGCTTCAACTTTTCTCCATTGTTCTGTGATTCGCATTCTGTGGTTGCTGCTGCTTTCCCCTATTAGCATAGCATGTAGACCAAAAAACCCATACAGAGATACCCCCGCACCCGCACGCACACGATTACCCATTTAAAATCCTGCAGTTCATTACTGCGAAACAGAACTCTCTTACATCCATCACATTTTACGTATAAAACTTAAAAAACAAAAATACGGCCTCTATAAAACAATTTCACCTTAAGTAGATAAGAAAGTTTCGTAGCGTTCTAAGGACGTCTTTTTGAGTTCTCGAAAGAAGTTAGCAAACAATTGAATTATCATCCCGCAAAAAATGCAAGGAGCCATGGGAGAGTCGAGGAAAAGGGGGAACAAATAATCGACAGCTCGATCGCATTAATTGCTAACGATTTTTAGTCCAGGCCGTTAGTTCCGCTCGCCCGAAAGTTGGAGAAACTCCAGAGCTAACCAGCCGGGTAGCCTTTTACCCCAGCCTTCCAACTCATGTGGGGGAACTAAAGACCAACCCCCCACCCAGAAATTCACGCCTGATCGACCGCCAAATCCGAATAGCTGGTGTGATAACACCTGACCGGGAAAGCCGACCTGGTTTCCGTGGACATTAATTGCTTGAAGCAAAAAATTTTAAAGATTTTTCACCCACTGAATCGAGTTCCAAAGATTGCCCCGATTCGTCCAGTAGCGAAACCGATAAACGTTTCCTCGCCCAATATCAATATGTATTGTAACGAGTGCTATTTTCCAAAGAACGAAACGAACGATAAATAGAACTATAAAACAATGACAATGTCTTACAATATTAAATGTCCCCAAATGTGAAAAAGATAAAAATAAAAGTGAAAATTATAAAACTGATAAATCCCCCGTTTTTCTCATTACAGGCGAAGACGTTATTGTAGGCGTGGTCTCGCCTACGGGTCGCCGGGAGGCCTGGCGCTCGCTCAACGGCTCCGCGACCACCTGCCGCGACCAGCTCCAGCAGCAGCAGCAGCAGCAGCAGCAGCAGCAGCAGCAGCGCCAGCAGCAGGAGGGCTCGTCCCTAGCCAAACGGCCAAGGCGCCCGGCACCACCACCACCGCCAGAGCCAGCACTCCCAGCCCAACAGTGCGCCACCGCAAGCCTCGCGGAATCCTCCGCCTCGTCGTCGTCGTCCTGCTCCTCCTCCTCCTCCTCTACGAACAAAGAGAGCCATCTGGAGCAGGATGAGGCGACGCCGCTAGAGCAGGAGCATAAGGAGGCTGTGCAACAGCAACACCAACGGGATATGGGTGCAAATCTAAGCAGGCACAGCGGTAAGGGTCTCAAGGGCAGACGAGCTCAATCTTCGGGTAGCCTGTGCGACGGAAAGGGCATCAGCGTCAGCAAGATACTCGCGCCCTGCTCGAGATCCTCCAAAGAAAGGTTTGTTCACCTTATACAGTATCCACATGATTCGATATTTTTATTCACCGAAGACAATGCTAGTTTATAAATAATTTAATTTTTTTTCATCTTATATACGAGCTCCACCAGAAATGAAAATGAGTACTTGTTTGCAAAGATCTAATCAGACGTGTGTACAGTGCATTGGATGATCTTACTTTCTACTTATGCACTATCGGTTTAGAATAATTCTGTAGTGTCAAAAAAATTGCTCAACTAAAGCTCATACTGGCATACTCGACTGCTCGTAAAAAGAGAAAGAGCCCAACATCACGAATAGTCGGTCAAGTACGAGAATTTGCCCTTATATTGCGTTTGCATATATATCTATATACTCGTGTATACACACACGTGCTCTTTTAACCATTCAATCCTTATGTCAGATCGCTCCGTGTCTTATCTCCCACGTGATGTATAATTTCTCGCGCATAGCTTCCTTCCCTCGGAGCAAGCGAGCATGTGCTTCTTTTTATAACACACACACATACACATCCCACAGACATACATTTATACACAGTGCACGTATACATTCGACATTTCTTGCGTATTTCTCCTTACATGCCGGAGAGAGCTCCTCTATATATATGACCAGCGATAAATTGCTGCTCAGGCGGAGGCGTCTTAAGCACGGAAGCACACACATTTACACGCACACAAGTTTTTGTACGGCACGGATACGGAGCTTGAAGGACCCTGTAGTTGCTCTCGCAAAGTAGGCTACGATCGCTGCTCGCTTACGATAAATAATTCAGAGCTATGATACGACTTTGGAGAAAGAAAAATACTCAAATCGCCTTATTGTACGATTTTTATCGTTTTTCGCGTACGTAGGAATTTGGAAAATGATGGGATATTATAGATAGCATCGAAATTGGATACAATGGTTTTTGTATGGCACGCCCTTGGGACTCAAAAACTCAATTTCTACGGACAGTTGTTGCCTTTAGTTTGGTGTTTGGTGTGGTTCATACAAGTACCTAGTAGGAGGCTCTTTTTGTATTAAATAAGAGATAGTTAGAAGAACTCATCCGTATCTGTAAATATAATTAACATTTTTAACTCTATGAATGCTTGACATAAAGGGTATTTCAAGCAATTTTTAATGGTTTCGATGCTGATGGTTTAACTTTATTATACATGGAGTTACATGCATAAACGAGGTAGGCCAAACCAATCTCAAGACAACAACTGACACAATATTTAAGTCTAAGTCGTGAGCCACGTATAAATTGTGAGAAATTAACAACTATTACAGGAAAGATTTTTCAGATATTTTAAAAATTATTTCTCAACTTTACTCTTCGTACATCTATAGCGTACTGAAAAATTACATTTTAATTTAATAGTTCCCAAGCAGTAATCGACCTCAATCTTTATCACCAAATCCGACCCCCAACTTTTATTTACATACACCCTATCTCTCTTCTCTCTCTTTCTCTCTTTCTGATAATAAATAATAAATTTGATATTACACTTATTCATTTACTGCTAACCTAAATTTAGTCATTTAAGAAACTTTGTAATGTAAAACTCTACTGTAAATTGTATTGCTTTTGCCATTCGGATATTTTATCTTTGGCATCAATAAACTGTGTTTCAATTCAATTTAATTCTCTTTTTCCCTCCAGCTCCTCTTTTAATTTAAACACGCATTCTGTTATGAACCAATTAATTAATGCATATAGTGTAGAAGTAAAAGTCGCAGCAGTGACAGCCCGCAAGCATCAGAATTTCGATCGGTCACTCACGTTCGTTCAGAAGTGGAACCCACAACCACAAACAAGCGAGCACCCTACTATTCGAAATTCGATAACCACACCCTCATACCAACGCACTTAATTATATAACCGTTGATCGCAGTCGAACCCATGAAATATATATATATACCCCATGGATGCCATACTACTTAATTTCAGGAGAGTCTAAGCGCGAAAATCAAGACGTAGGTAGGTACTACACGTAAATGCACGCTGGTGGGTAGTTATATATACATGTATAAGCCGTCCAAGCTTACATACACGCGAACAAAGGAGATCCATCTTTCCAAGAGAGAGACGATGGAGAGACAGAGGGCGGAAGTGGCGCACAATTACGAGCCGTTGCGAGCTCTTCTTCCACGCGCGGGAAGCTTATTTACCGCGTGTGCTCTCGCTTCCGCGGTCCACGACAAGGCTCTCTTACGCTGTTAATCTTTCATTTAACTCTTAAAGTACTGTAGCCCGTGTGTGTTGGGAAAAGGGCGCTAGCGCTTGTGGTAGTCCGTGCAGTAGCAGTTAATTCGCGATTGTTCTGTTTGGTTGAGTAGATTTTCTCTGAAGATTCATTTGAGGGTGATAAAGCTGCGTGGTTCTCAACAAAACTAAATTTTGGCGTTAAACTTATTAAAATTACACATTTATTGTTATTTTTGTTTAACGACAACTGTCAAACTACTCAATCAACTTAAAACAAACGTAACAACTTTGATGAAAATGGCAATGAACTCCTAATTATAAAATGATGAAACGTCGCTCGGTTCACCACCTCAAAAAGTTTTACAAACATGAGGTTGCAAGTACAAACGCTTTCAAAGGCCTGTATTTCGCTATGAATCGTCAACGCGCTTGCTCAGATGACATGTAAGTTTTAAGTATATTTGTCGAGGGCAAGTATTCAAGTATACACACTATAGCGAGGAACACAAATAGGTACACAGCGTTGCACTATGGCGGCGGCGGGGAAAAGCCATTCGCAATTTGCACTGCTAATGCAAAGAGCTGGAAGAGAATGAGAAAACACGGTCCTCCTGCTCCTTCGATTTGCGGGAGGAACGCAATCAGATTCTGTACGTACATTTAAGTATTTATTTTGATAGCAAAAGTGGCCTTTAGATTTTCGATTTTTTTCTGCGACACTGCTACTACTACCACTGGCTATAAATTCACTTCCAACGAACATTTAATTTTTCAAAACAGTACTAATTTTCGTAATTTTTTTTAAAGGGATGCCGCATAAGTAGGTGCTTTTGTTTAAATTCACGATTTAACCTATGTAGGCCATCCTTTGAACGATCCGGATTTATGATTTTAAGCAGCCCACAACGTTAATCTGATCATTAATAACGTACACACTGTAAATCTAAATGAGTTACGTAAAGTACATGTTAAAAACATGTATAAAATAATATTTGTTCTTAGAGAAGAAATAACTTGAAAATTGCTTATCTGATACTATAAACTGATAACATTTCGTCGTTTATCGAAGTTTCATCATTGGCATATTAACTATCACTGTTTTTAACCATATTTTTTATTTCTTAAGGTAGGAACTTTCAGTCATGGAAAGATTATGTTCGAAAATGAGAGAAATTAATGCGCAAAAAGTTAAAAGTTCCTAACTATAACAAATGAAACTATTTTCCAGAATTTTATACAAGTATTTCTCTCTCAGCGTAATTAAACAATAGTTTCGATGAGCGTTTGAAAAACAGATTTATCAGTGGTGTATAAATAAATCAATAATTTCACCATAACTACTGTCACACTATAAGCTGATCAATTTTCAAACAATTGATTGAGAAAAATACTCCATATTCAGTGCGAAACATGTTTGTCATAGATTTAATACATATGTAATTCTGGTCAAATACAGCGTAGCGCTACGATATCGTGTACCAATAAAAATACATGTAATAACAGTACACGGGAAAATTCAGGAGTCTGCTGGTCCCAGTCTGAGCTGCAGAAACTTCCTCTGAACTATTAGCTCGCGGCACGTATAACGAGGCTAAATTGATCGCTAAGGCCAGAAGTCGTTAGACCAGAGGTATTAAACGGAGCCGTTAATCGATGCTTGGCTTTGCACAATTATGCAAGAGAGCGAGCGACCATATACACGCATTTATATGTATAATAGCTCTTGTAAGGCGCCAGAGCACCGGGCTATATATTTAAAACCTCAAGGTTGATAGAGTCATTGCCTCTGAAATTTTATTAACTACTGATGCTGCCACAGTGACAGCTTTGATGGCGCGTTTTTTTATCTTCGCACGAAAGGATGCTGCTTTAAATATTGGCTTTGCGCGGATCGTCGGCACCTTCGATTTTTAAAAGTCTTTTGATATGTTGGTATGTACGTTGTAGAATATATTTCCTTGTCTTGGATATTAAAGTAAACATCCGTATTATTGAGGTGATAAAAAATATTGATTAATGTAAAACTTGGGACTCAGACAATAAAATTTATAAAAAAGAAAGAAACAACACCAGCCTCGTAAAACAAGTTTGTAAAGTCTACAGGGAGGGAGAGAGAGAGAGAGAGAGAGAGAGAGAGAGAGAGAGAGAGGCGGCAGGAGCACGACATATATATCGCATTATAAACGGGCGCAAAAGATAATACAAACTCGTTATCCACGAAGCTAAACGTCAAAGCTGTATGTACACTCGGCAGTTATCGGAATTGAGCACGGAAAAAGATCCCTCCCTTTTTACCCTAGTTTTGAGAACAGTGTCTACCAGAAACTCTCAACTAATTGATTAGGAACCTCTAACTAACGAACGTCAAAGGTGTCATGCCATGTAAAACCAAGTACAAATTTATCAGATCGACGCATCGTTCTATAGAAAAAGCGGAGATGTTTTGAACACTAACTCTAGCTTCTTTCTTCTTCTGTAAGGGATGTCAGTGGGGAGGTTTCGCAAAAGCGAAAGGATACGTATAGGTTTCAGTTCTGCGCTTACTTTTCCATTTTTCCTGTCGGCTCGTTCTTTAACTTTACTTTACTTCACTTTTGCGAGTGCTCTTCTCTTGTACTACTAAACGCGTCCTAAACGCATGTACTTGTAGATTGTTGAAGAACTCTTTTATCGGATTTTCCTGTAAGTATAGATTATTGTAAACTCTACAATGGCTAAACTAGTACGCAGCGTGGCAAATGTCGATTGTATATATACTGAGTCCCGTATAGATGTGGATTTACTCGAAAAATCAGGAAAAGTTGCCAGAAATTTCATAATGACTTCGGAATCCTCATTGAAACTTGGAAGTGCGTAGACTCTCGAAGATCAAGAGCTTAACAATACAAGGGGCATAGCGATCTTTCTTTCGTTGCGTCTGACTTAAAATTCTCGAAATATAGAGGAGCAGCATGCGTGAAACTGAAAATGGAAAAAAAATGAATAAATTCAACCAAGGAATAAGTCGCGCGATCCAATTTTCTAGCGTGAAATGTCGCTCGACGCCAGAGCCACGCGTACCATTGTTATACTCATATTGCTCAAATCTGTCAGCCTGACAGGCAGTAAAACGATTGCGCGCGAACGAAAGAATTCATCCTCGACGAGAGATCGTTCCGTCTTCTCTGGTGACGTACACGCGACTTCGATCGTGAAATAAGAGGTTTTTACCCCCCGGGCCCACGAGAATGAGGCGGAGCGAATGAAAAACGCAGGAACGCCAGAAGGAAAATCGAGACTGAGATTTGCTTAACATATTATTTTATTTTCCTCCCCTACTCTCAAGATTGCGTACGTGTGCGCCGAGCCTGCATTAGATATTCTAAAAGACGAAACTTTTTAGCGTCATAGAATAGGATACTTTTAACAAAAGCTTAACGTGAACGAAAGACTGACGCTGATAAACATGAAAATTAAATCCTATTGCAGCAAATACAAGTATTGCGGCTCACTGCCAAATCACCTCGATGGAAAAGACTCGCTGGACGATGAAACGAGCGAAAACAACAATGTCATTACCGACACCATCAGCGGCAATCTCGGTGGTACTCTGCCGCACAAAAAGAGCCACGTCTCGGCACATTTTTCTGACGATCCGTCCCACACCTTGGAACTCGTGAAGCATCGATCGGAGGAGTCCCTCGACGGCGACCCTTGGAAGTAAGTCTTTTCGCAACAATTTAACTATTCCTTATAACGAGAAAAGTTGCTCCGATTCTTCCCCTCATCGGAAGACCGTCTGCAGTACGTAATGAGTTCCGGAGCCAAAGTTCGGGCCACTCGTTGGGAAGTTTTAATTTTAGACCGCATCCGCGTGTCAATCAATGCAATAAGCACCCGTGAACGAAATAAGAAACCCGGCGGCAAGGCTGACGCATAATAATTGCCCGAAACTTTGGCTTTAGTGTTCAAAATATTAAAATCCCAGCCCCATCCTTAATGAAAATATGTGCCCACTTGATCGCGGTAGCAGTTAACTCAAAAAATCGAGCCTTGAACCCATACAGATACAGACTCGAGGGCGCGGACCTGGCACGATGTCGTTATGCAGAATCGCTGCGCAAGAGCCGGGGTTCAGATGCGGGGAGCAGCGTGAGCGGCTGCAGCCACCACCACCAGCACCAGCATCATCATCACGAGTGGCGTCGTAACTCGAGCACGCTGTCGCGGGGCCGATGCCACCGGAGCGCGGAACTCGACGTGACGGGGACGCTGCCGAAGCGTCGGCAGGACTCGACGAAGCGCAGCGCCCCATCGCTCAGGGAACTCGGGGACGGACCCACACGGGCCAGTCGGATATCGATCGATAAGATCGACGACGACCTACTGTTCAGGAGGCCGTCGTCACAGCAGCAGCACAAACAGCCCGACAGCGAGGCGACCGACAAACAAAATCAGCAGGAACAACAGAAAAATCACAAGGTACAGACGGTTGGCATGTTCCATAGAAAATAATTTTATGGGTTTATCACGTTTTTACGTTTTAATGGAATAAAATGTTTTTATTGCATTGCAGCCCCAGCCACACGGAAAGTACGTAGATTTGAAGCTACACAAGCTGACAGCTGGAGGAGAGCCACAAGATCAGGGGTACGCGTCCGAGAGGTCGCCCGAGGACGAGCATCTGCCGCCGTTGCCCGATCAACCGTTTCCCAGTGTCACGCCAGGTAAGTCTCATTTTTTTATAAGATGAAATTTTCTATCTTTTATCATTGAAATTCAAAACTGATTTGAATCTATAGAGAAACAAATACTTAGTTTCTTATTTACCAGAAACATATTTCTATCGCAAGCGTATACATTTTAATGGTAAAAACGAGAACCAGGGCCGATGCGAAAAAACTCTCATCCGTCGATTCTGGTTCTATTTGATGCAACAATTTTTTTCACTTGTTTATTTCACTAGTGAGGTAAATAGAGTAAATGCACGTGCGAATGAGCAAAAATTTTGCCGACGACGGGCTCTAACGCACGCTGATAGTTTGAAAATAAACACGTTATACCTATATATACACGTATGCCCGGCACCAAGAATCACGGAGAGATATAATTATTATTATTATTATTACTCTGTTGTTTCCAAGCATAGAGTCTTAAATTTCATGTAGCCCCTAATAAACATTGATACTTTACATATTGGTGATAAAAAATAGGTATAACTACAATGGGAATCCAAGTAAGTTAAATTTTCACAATTAACGCATGTCGAAAAAATTGATATTTTTGCAAAAATAACGTGTGCGAATATAAAAATATAGTTTTGCGCGATAATTTTGAAAATTTATATTCAACGAAAGTGTATGCTTCGAAAATAATGTATGGATTTCAATGAAATACAATTTTTTCTTTGTTTAAGTACTATTTCATCCCGATGAAAAGTATTAAAAATCTGGTTTTTTTATCCATTGTGAAAATCAAAGTTGTAAAGAGAAATTTCATGGATCTAAAAAATGCATCTTTTTGTTTTAAATGATTTTTACTCCATAGGATGTAGTGCAGTTGATTTAGAACACAAAAAAAAGAAAATAGAGAACCCCCCTTTCATTGCTTACCACAGAAAACCTCGCAGAAAACAATAAATATACAAAGCAATATTATACAAAAATTAGAGTAAATTGTAGATACACTTCTTTTTAAGTTGCATATTTTTCTGTACAGAGTTGTATTAAGCTATGAGTCTAAATTATGGTAATATTATCGTATTTACCGAAAAATTAACATTTGATATTTAATGACAAAACGTTACATCAGTTTGTACGCGATTTTAACGATCGAGAAGTTAAAAACCGTTGAAAATTGACATCAAATACTTTCAATGGAGCAAAAATTTATTATTTAACGTTTTAAAAAAAAGCTTGTTGGTTTTAAAAAATGCAACTTTTTGGTAGAAAACATACTATGTTTGTGATAACTAAAAATTCACAAGTAAACCTTTTGTTTATATTTAATATTTTTCGATTCGATAATGCAGGTAAAATAGCTGACTATAGTTCGATTGGGTTTTCCCTTAAATGTTTACTTTATTCGTTAAAATAAATTTTACAAGCGTGCAAGAGTATGAAAAATAAAAACGCGAGGATTTACATCACGAGGTAATAACTTTACACAAGTCCAAGTGCAAATTCAACATAAACGATGTCAAATCTCGAGAACGTGACCACGCCGTCGAATCGATGAGTAATTCATTTATAATACACCATACAGATACGAGCGACTCTTCAAAACAAATTCGCGCGAGTCGAATAAGAGACACAATAGCTGCGTATTATATATATCCGCGTTGAATGGAGAATTCTTGATTCCTTCGCTCAATCGACCCATAAACCTATACGCTCTGGCGCGCACAATAGAACCCCTCGCAACTAAGAGAACTTGGGTGCGAAGGAAGGGGGAAGTAAGGCATTTCAAAAGTATAAAGCGGGGGGGGAAGACTGTCAGTTGTCAACCATCACCGTTAGAACGTATACTTATAGAAATGAGGCAGCGCTGAAAGCTCGTCGATCGAGCTGGCAGAGGAGTCTTAATAAAGTGCGGCCAATAAAGCGTGTACGCGCGCTCGATTAAGATCTCTCGGATGATAATCAAAGAGAGAGAGAGGGGGTAATATGTGTGTGCGCGCACGTGTGTAGCAAAGTACGGAGGTTTTGGCGTATAGCTCGTGGCATTCGAATATCTCGCTAGCGGGAGCTTTACGGGTCATTAACCCTCTAAGCTCAGTGTCGTCGTCGACGTCTCAGTCTCTCAGGCACGCCCTAAGGACTTTCCCAGAGTTATGTGCGTTGACTTCTTGCTTTATCTCTTTTCAAAGTTTTTTTCTTTCTTTTGTTTTTACTGAAGGGGAGGAGGAAGGTGCGTGCGTTCTCAAGCTTACGAAAAGCTCAAACAGGAGATATTACTGGATTTCGTAGATCAGGAGTTAGCAGTTTTTTTTGTACAAACATACCGAAGAGTCTTAGAGTCAAAATCACTCGTAACAAAAAATACTTGTAATTATAACATAAAATTTAATAATAATGACAGCAAAACAAAGACTGTTAATATTTCAAAATAATCAAGAGACGTACTTCATCTAAATGTACAAATCAACTAAGATAGTTATAGTTACAGAGTTACAGTAAATAAGACCTGATATTAATGACTCCAAGCTCGCAATCTTAAAGCTTTGCGTAACAAAAGTACATAAATTTCTTTCTATAATAATTATAGGAAACAAGAAGCCAGCAAGAAGGACAAGTCAAACAAAAGCTTGATCTATGTAGATATCTCTATTATCTTTGATCGACACAAAGCAAGCTAGGATGCAAAAGTGTTTATAACAAAGTGCCGCGACAAAGCGAGGTGGTGTAAATACAACGCGTGCGCGCGGAAGCAATGTGCAAGGCTTCGATGAGTTTAAAGCGAATACGTAGGGCTGCTCCGGAAACGAACTGTAGAGCTCAAAGCTCGACGAAGCTCTACGATGCAACCGCACGCTACACTCGGAATGCATAGGTCGCATGTTCTGTGTTCCCCAGTTCGTACTGCTCCGCGCCTACTTTTCCATTGTTTTTCAATTTTTTTGAAATAACTGTTTATAATATGTATTTGTATATCTACTACGTAGCCATCTGTACTTTACATTCGAACATTTTAGTAATCGTATTCACTTTGTATATGTATAAGTCCCGATTGATTTAAAGTTGGCTTTGGATCAACATTGATATTGTCATCTACAATAGTATGCTTATGTGAAAGCCCAGAAGATGTCTATCTTGCGAAATAATTTTGAGTTGAAATAATCGTTTTGTATTTGTAAAAAAAATGTCTAAACATGTATGAATAAACAAAATCAATTGAATCTAAATCGCTACCGGTAGAATAATTCACAATTGAGTTTCCGCTAAAATTCAAACAATTAATCTTTAATTAAATCTGTTTCGTTAAAAACGGCTATTGAAAAAATGCACTCTTTAATTTCAGACATGTATGTTAATTTTCTAAAATACACTTCATTTTCACAGAATAAAACGTAGAAGCGTTGCATGAGAATTTTTAATCAATATTCGGAAGCTCCACAAGAAAAAAAAGTGGAGTAAAAAAATTGTCCAACAACAATTTAAATAACGATGATCATCATGTGATGGGTAACAATTAAACTGACTAGTACAGGATATTCGCAACAATGGAATCCGACAATAAAATAAAACAATAGCCAAGAGAAACAAAACCGAGTAAAACCATAGCGCACCCCTATTAGCTTTCGTTTTTAGATAAAACGTACACGTATGTATATACGTATAAATAAATGGCAGAGGGAGGCTCATTAGTTACTCCCAAATATCCACTATCCCTGGTGGGTAAGGTGCGATGCGAATTAGTACGAGCAGCCATCGGAATTTTTTTGTGAAAGTAGTTTTAAAAAAGGGAAACAACAAACACAGAGAAGTAAATACAGAGATGGATGTTCCAATCGTCTCTGAGGTTGCGGCCTGTTTCGGCTGCAGAAGGGCAAATCGATACATCAGCCAACCGAGCAGGAGGGAGCCAGGATGCCAGTTTGCTGAAATCGGCTTGCCCTAATTGATAGAATGTCGGGCGATTATTTTCAATTAACTCGTCCGGATTTATCACACTTTGGGGCTTTATGGCGCGCGGGCACTGCAACATGTGGCTTGATTGGATGAGCGAAGAGACTGCATTTTCGCCTTTGTTATCAATTGTCAAATGCTTTTTCATAAGATATGTACGGGAAAACATCGCAGAGGTATATTAATAATGAAAAAATCTGTAAGTTCAATAGTTATGCTTACTTAGGATTTTATAAAATTATGAGGATAAGAGTTTCTTAAGTAATTAAGGTGCTATTGAAGAATAGTACGGGACAGCACAGTTAAAATTATTTGACATTGTAGCGTCAGCTTAATGGAATAAAGTTACTTTTTAAAGCATATTGAAAAAAAGGCTACTTTTGAAAGTATGGGGCAAGAATCGAGGCAAGAATGGTAGTTTTCATCACAAAAGTGCCATCACCTACGGGGCTATTTTACGAACTGTAAGGTAGCTCCGGATGGATGGCAATTGTGTACCCAACACTGTTTTTCCTACCGAAGGCACACCCAACCCTCAAAAACACCCGAGGTAGGAAAAATTACTCTTCAGGCATTAAGGTTAAAAGGTTACTTTTCAAAATGTTTTTTTCCCTCGTATTTTAAATTGGCTACGCTCATCACAGTATATTCTATGATAATAATAGTCAATTTACATACGCAATAATAGGAAGTGAACAACAACATTCACATAAAAAATAAAAATACAATTCCATTTATCTCTTGTAGTATAAAAATAATATTCGTACCATACAGAAATTGCCGAAAGCGTAGATCCTAAGTACGTAGTGGATATTATGTGAGTGTCAATCGCGCAAGTTTTAGATTTTGGAAATTTGTTGGATAAAAATTGTAGTAAATTAAGTGTTATCCAAATAGTAGTATTAAGTATGTGTCTAATTATGGTAAAAAAATAGAGACTTAACTACTTTCAAATTGTAGTAACCATGAAGTAAAAAATTGCTGCGATTATAAATATTATCATGCACTGTATGACAAAAAAAAACAAAATTTTCAACACGTAATAAGCAAAGGACTGATTTCTTCAGTTAACTAATTTATACACTAAAATTACTGAGTGA